ATGATCACACGATGGTTTGTGGTATGCAACAGAGTAGAAAATTCTTGCTTGCTAGAGGCCCAATGTTCTTTAAACCGTCGTTCTATAGCCCCACAATATTTTATGAAATCAATCATGTCATCTTTGATGCTATCAATAGTGGGAATGACTTGGCGAAAGCCTAATTGTCTCAGAACTCTTATTGGGACGTATGGAGAGGATTCGTAAAGTCCTGATAAGACCATGCTTTGTTGGTGTTTTGTAGCTAACCGGGGTTGATTACATCCCTTTTGTATGCTTCCAGTTAATAATAAAAAAACAAAAAATATAAAATAAAAAAACATAAAATTTATTAAAAATTATGGATATATTATTATTATCATTATCATCATCTAGAATTGCCACATGCAAAGCACGCATACACTTACTAGTTATCTAAAGAAGACCCGATGACCATACTAGTGTGGCCAATATTAGTTAACCAGTTAACTGCATCACTTGTCTCTCTAAAAACATGCTTGTAAGAGAAAGTTAGGCCCTTGGCACGACACACCTCATAACACTTCTAATATCCGTTTGATGTTCTCTTTTCTTCATTTTGATGAAATCAAACATTATTTGATAAGGCGTTTTCCAATGTCATGCAAACCAAACCAAACATTGTTATTTCCAAAAGCTTGATTTGAAATTCTAAGGCCTAAGGGTATTTTTGGGATAAACAACTAAGTCTATTGCCTTTAAGGCTTTATTCGCATATCAGAAAATGGTTTATATATGCATTTTTATAATAAACAATCATATAAAAATTTATAAAAATACAATGAGGGTGTTTGGTTTCGTTTACATTTATTCAGTAAACGTTTTGTACTTGTGTGATTGCAAAACCAAGAAACACATTTAATGAGGGCGTTTATGACACATAGGCGCCATTAGGCACCACATCAGCAAAATGCCAATAAACGCCTATCCGTTTCAAGAAGCTCCAAAATGAAGCTTTTTGAAACGGGAGTTTTGCAAACTTCGATACACAAATGCAATTATTGAGGCATTTGCTGACGAGGCGCCTATGTGGCACCGTTAATAAATGTTTACTCAATAAACATAAACGGAACCAAACATATACAATATATGTGTGTGTAGGTCTATGTACATATAATTCCATAGGGGTGACCCAAAATTATTCCATCCTATCAAAAAAATTGAAAGGAGATATCCTAGGGATGCAAATGGATCATATCGGATTCAAATCAGGGTATATCCGAATATGATCTGACATTATTTATGGTGGATATGATCTGATTGGATCTGAGAGGCCTCGATATAAATTTGAATCCTATTGGTAAGTCAGATCTTTGGATTTGATCTGATCCGACTTGTTTTCTTTAAAAATTAATAAATTAATAAAAAGAAAAAAATAAAATATACCAAATTAAATAAAGAAAAAAATTAAAAAATTATTTTCAGCATATATACATATTTTTTTGTAAAAAATAAATAAAATAACAAGTTTATAAAAATATAATATAAATAATATATTTATGAATAAATAATTAACATATATATGAAACATATATTGGATCTATATCTGATTGGATAGGAATGATCCGAATCTGGTCTTAAGATCCGAAAGGGATTATTCGAATTCGACTAAATAGGATCGGACCATGGTCCGATCCATTTGCCATCCAGGGCTCCTAATTTGTTGACTTATATACGCCTGGTTGTATATCTTTTGATAAAAAAATCTAAATTCAACGTGTATATCTCTTGATAAAAAGATCCTAATTCAACGTTTCATAAGAGGTCTTATACGCTTGTTTGTGTGGCATCTGTTGTGGTCTAAAATCCTCGTGAAGGTAATGTGCAATATGGCTGTCCTTCTCTAGTGGACCCTATCATCTTCTCGTAGCTGATGGATGGCCATTACCATTGGGCCCACCGGTCAAGCTGGATGGCTCGTGTTTCAGCTGGGGACCTACCACCGCTATCCGGAAGAGCGTATAAAATAAAATATCGGCGAGAAAAAGATTAAAAAAAAGAAAAGAAAGAAAGAAGAAGAGGAGAAGGACCGGTGGAAAGGAGGAAGGATAAAAAAGGGGGATAAGCTCTTAAATACGAGATATCGCGATATTGTTGAAGTTTCACAGAGTAAAATTTCGTACGCGATAAATCGAAATTTATTTTGCAGAATCTGCGATTTCCGGTATCTATCGATCGAGAAGATCTCTCTCTATCTCTTCTGAGTTCATTTTTTAAACTCTCCTACTTCTCGAAAAGATCTCTACTTATCTTTTTGTGAGTTCTTTCGACTCTCTAAACTCTCGTTTTTTATCCATAGATTGCTTATATTTTTTCCGCTTTTCTTTAAAGCGGGATGTACATTTTGCTTGTATGTTCTTATTATATTGTGTCGTGTGTTGGAGTTTGAAGCTCTTGATTCTTAGGTTGCTGGTATTTAGGGTTTGATCGAAGGATCTGAGAAATGGGTCTGTGTAGCTTAGTACTGGAATTGCTTGACGCTGGCTGAGTTTGATTTCAGTGTTTGTTTGTGGTTTTCCTCTGTGTTATATTGGTTCTCTAGAATTAGATGAAAGTCTAAGAATTAATTAATGAGAAGGGCAAAAAATTTTGGAACCATTCGTTTACCTACACATCATCGGGGGTAGAGTACGTAGGACGTCTTTCGCAATTGAAGGATGAGGGAAACGTAATTGTAACTGTGCTACTGGTTTGGCCGGCAAAAAAGACTTTATCTACTAGAAATTCAATTTATGGAGGTCATTAGGGGCTCTAGCATGAGTGAATAACTGAGACCACTGGGGGAAGGAGTTGATACCTGCCATTTGGAGTTTTGGATAATATAATTATGCTACATAATAATCTTGCTGTATTTTAACTGTTTGCGTTGGCCTAAACTGGGCTACTTGCTACTGTATGTTGTCTATTGGTGGGGTTATTTAGCATTAGCAGGGGATTCTGGAAAGTTGGGAGGATTCCGGATTTTCAAAAAGGACTATGTCGATGGCCTCAATTAAACTGTTGAAGGATTTCATATAGGGGCTAGAGTGGCAAATAAAGGATACCATTCACTTAATCTGATAATATTTCTTCATATATATTATATATAAAATCTTGTTTGAGTTTGTAAACTCAAAGACTGATAAAATGATTCCACTAATGAAAAATACTCTCATTGAATCATGGTAGCACAAGTGAGTTGCCCCCACCCCCCTCCCAGAAGGATCTCCTCAACTTTATTGGTAAATTAATTTAAATTTGGGGAGTTTCAACTCATTTTTTTCATTTTCGTAGAATGATTTTTTGAGGTGAACTTGTCCTTTTGAGTGGGTTTGGCTTTGGCTTTGGCATGTAGTTGTCTAGTTCATTGGTCTTCTTGGTCCAGATCTGAGTTCATATTTTGTAATTCACAACCTTCAAATGAAGTTGGCTTGCTATGGATAAGGTTCTTTAGTTAATACCTTAATTTATAGTAGTTGCTATAGGTTATTCTGGCTTATCAACACTCAAAAGTGCTTAACTAGGTGATTTAAGTGTCAATGTGTCATATATAATATTAATTTCAAGTGTCAAGGGCTATGGTGCTACTGTTATTACATTTTATAGAATGGTTGCATTAATTTGTGCACTTGGGCACACATTTAACTCTAATTAGTACACCCTCTGGGAATGCCATTTAAGGCAATTTGATACTCTGTATTTGTTCTTGGTCCCCTCTTGACATCACAAAGGACATCCTATATGGTGTTTTAGTTGGAGCTAAATGTGTGCCTTTAGGGCACGTGTTAATACGACCTTTTTAAAATCAATATGCAAATATGTAGGCATGCAAAAAGAATTGTTGACTGTAGTTGGATCCATTTGTTAATAGTAATCTTAATTTTAAAGTAGGATGTGGTTTGGTACTTAAAATCTTAAGTGGTTAAGGAGAACTAATAAGTTGTTATGTTCTGATTAATGTTGTATTTTAACTTGTACAATTATCTTTTTTGTTTTTTTGATCAATAACATAATTTCATTAGAAATATTAAGAATTACAAGATAGGCTAACTTTCTTAACTCTTGTACAATTATCTTTCAAAAACTTATATTTTTCTTTTTTCAAATTAATATGAAAAATTTGTCTCCATTGAAGCAAGTAGTAGGTATAGAGATTTGCTAGAAGCTATGATGCCCAAATATTTTTTTATGGGTGCAGTATCATGTTGGACACTTACATGGGTGCAATATCATGTTGGACACTTACATGGGTGCAAACTGTGCAATATCATGTTGGACACTTCAATTTTTTAGTTTAATTTTGTGTCCAATTGTGTCCTTTCCATATCTGGTTGACATGCTAGAACATATTTGAACCTTTAATGAATGTTAAATGGTTCTATTGATTGTGGAATGTAAACCAATAAATATGAACAATGCCTTTTAGACAAGGCATTGAGATCATAGAGTCACCCAATAAACTGAATAAAGCTCGATATTTTTCCAGGTATATCTGCTTAGAGCATGCTTCTAGTTACAAAGGGCAGTTTAATCATTTAATTTTGTTCTTTGGTGGGCCACCACTATCTGTCTGAGGTTCAAGTGATGGCACCACTAGCGGTTTGGAACCACCATGACAATGCATATTTTAGAGGGTGTTCTTCAATTTGAAATGTTTTCTTGTTGTGAGTTCCAAAAACAAATTAAAACCATCTGGGTTGAAAACAAATTGGTTCTTAAAATAAAAACATGGAAAACATGTTCTTGGTTGTGTATGTGCTTTTTGTTTCCAAAACTGAAACAAAAACCATGTTCTTGAGTTTTTGGTTTGAAAAGTATGTTTTCATCTAAAGATCTCTCATCATCTTTCATTAATCATACAATATCTGTGCACCAAAAATTGTTTTTGCTTTAAAAACCATCATTTTGATGTTAATCAAAAGCAGGAATTGATTTTTGAAACAAAACCAACTTGTTTTTGTTTAAAAAACATAATTCAAGAACCTGTTTTTGTTTTTGTGCCGTTGTGTTAATTTCAAAAACAAATGAAAACAAAAACATTCACGATGTAGACCACCCTAAGTTTCTTCTCAAATTGTTTCCACTACTGTGATATTCTTTATCCTTATCTGAAGACTATCAAAAAGGGCCTCAAATGAGTCCTAGGAAATGGGAAGAAGATATCATTTTGGGATGATAACTGGACCCCATTTGATCCCTTAAGTCAATTTGTTCAAATGAATGATCCCTTAAGGATTTTATTGGCTGGGAAAATAACAGATGGAAAAATGAGGAACTACAAGACTTGCTTCCCCCTCATTAGACTTAGAGAAATGAAATCCTTGCAATTTCAATTCCTCATACTAACAAAGAAGATCACCTAATTTGGGGAGGAAATCCAAGTGGTAACCTCTCAATCAAAACTGCATATATTGAGACCCTTGACACCTCCCATAGAGAGCACACTGATTTAGCCCTAAAAAAGGAAATTTGGAAAATTAAATCTTTTCCACTATAAAAATTTTCCTCTGGATGCTTATCAATGTTAAGCTACCAACAAAAAGGTTACTTATTGAAAGGGGCCTTAATGATGGTGCCTAACGGTTGGGTTGCTCCATTGTGACCTGGGTGACCATGGTTCAAATCTTGGAAACAGCCTCTCTGTATATCTGCAGGCGTAAGGCTGCATACATCTGTCCCTCTCCGGACCCCGCATTGGTGAGAGCCTCATGCACTGGGCAGTCTGGGCTACCCTTTTATTGAAAGAGGCCTTAATATTATGCGTGGTTACATGAGATGCGGAGATTCAGTAGAAGATGAGAATTATATATTTCTCAAATATCCAGTGGTGAGGCAAATCTGGATGGCTACAGAAGAAACCTGCCCGGGTCCTAGCTTGGATATAGATGCTTATATAACAAGGACGTCCCTGAGTAGTACTGGAAAAAAATTTCCTTCCTACTAGGGATTATATAGAAAGATAGGAGTTAAACCATTTTTAAAAACACAAAGGAATATCCACCTCATATAATTGAAAAAGCTTGGGTAACACATTAGGAATTTTGTGGGGACACAGAGGACACTAACCCATCTCCTAATCCAAATGACCAAGTAATGGTTAAGTGGTTCCCACTGAAAGACCAATAGATTAAAATTAATTTTGATGCTTCAAAAAAAAAAACAGGATGGAAGGATATCTTATGGTTGTGTTGGCAGGGACTATATGGACAAAATAATATTTATTAAAGCTGACAGAATTGGAATCTCTTTGATCAACATTGCAGAAGCCTGGGCAGCTAGAGAAGCTATATTTCTTTCTAGAGAGTTGGAGACTAAGAAAATCATCGTCGAAGGACATTCAAAGCTAGTTATAGACTGCCTCAACAGAAGAACAAAGATCCCATGGAGCATAAAAAATATTATCGAGGATTGCTGGGAGATGACTAGAGTAGCAGAGCTTGAAATCACTTATCAAAACACCTATCAGGAGGCAAACCAGCTTGTTGATTTCTTAGCTAATGCAGGGCACTTGATGAGCATCTATGATGCTATTGCTATTTTGGATTTTCATTGTATTGCCTTAGCTGACGCTTGGGGCAATTCTGTCCCCAGAGCCTTGTAATTCACTTTTATCACTAAGAAAAAAGAGCATCATCTGGAACTTAAGTAAACTTTGTCATAACTGCAGACTAGTTATGAGGAGCTTCCTGAAACAGATTTCTGATGTCTTTTTGTGTGTGTGTGTGAGAGAGAGCTGTTATTCAAGGGTTTACATTTATGTTTGGACATTTTTATCTTGGTGTGGCATGAATGCCAAGTATTAAGTTGTCCATAAGCGCCTGGCATGTTGATCTCAAAATTTATGGCATGGTATGCAGTGATAAATAATTTGGAAATACATTAAAAATAAGAGACCAATTGGACATGTCCTTTTCTTTATATACCTTATTTACTAGTTTTAAGTGCCCAAGTTTTATCTGCCTTAAGCTTGAACATTATCAAGATGCTTAATGGAATTTAATGCCAAGTGCGAGTTCCTAATGAAATTGTGCATTTCTACCACATATTATAGACACTTTATCTGTGTTTTTTGGACAATCAAATAGGTCTCACTTAGAGGTAGGGTGTCTTTCAACATAAAATTAAAGTACAACAGGAAAATGGAAGGATGCATCTGGACTCTGGAGTCATGTGTGATTGGAGAATATCACTTTGGCTAAAAGGAAAATTTTATAAGACAGTTACAAGTCCAACAATGTTGTAAGAAGAGAATCAGAAATTGTTGGGCAGTAAGGAAACAACATGTCCAAAAAATAAATGTGGCAGAAATGCAAATATTGAAATGAATGGTAAAACTAAACAGGATAGGATAAACAATGAACGAAGGAACCAAAGAGTAGCTCCAATAGGTAATAAAATGAGGGGAAGTTGACTAAGATGGTTTGGTCATGTATTGAGAAGACCATCTACTACACTAGCAAGAAGTTGTGATCTGTTACTAGTTGAAGGGGCTAGAAGAGCTGGGGCAGACCAAAAAGTACATAGGTTGAATTAGTGAGAAATGATTTAAGGGCCCATAATTTAACAATGGCTTTATTGATAAAAAATGGCATTAAACAATGCATAATGGCAGGACAAGACTTGTGTAGTCAACCCCATATAGTTTGGACAAGGCTTAAATGATGATGATGATGATGATGATGATGATGATGATGATTGTGACACTTGTTCATCCACTGGAGGTATGTTTACTTGATTCTTGCTTTAGTTGTATATGGAAATTTGGGATTTTGGTGGTCTTGTAATGGAAATCAAAATCTTGTATTTTTTCCTTTTCAGTTTTCAATGACTATGGCTTGATAATATCAATATTAATATCCTTATGCCTATGTTTACACCAAGGACCCTGATGGTTCTTTCCAATATTCCTCTGATTACTTCTCTTTCCTTGTTAGTCACTTGTCATTTACCTATGTCTTGTACTAATACTTGATCCCATCTTGCGGGGGCTGCGAATATGTTATATGCCTTCTGCTCATTGTAATCAATTTATCATCCCTTGCATTTATGTATGTTGAATCCCCTGCGTAAAAGGTTTTTGCTATTCTTCTGGTTATTCATGCTCATAAAATCCTTTTGCAGAGACACATGATTCTTTAGGCAATTTGTAGTTTGAAGAATTACTTAGCCTGCCTCATTTCTTTTCTAATTAATCTTTCTACTGCTTGTTTAGGCCAACACAGTGGAGGAGAGTGTAACTTCTACACTATCAGTAAGTCAAGTCTGCAGTTCTGTTATGAATTACACCGTTTGATTTTTTTTTTTCATCTTACAAGTGTGCATTATTACCTTGTTTTTGCACTTTAAGGGATTTAGAAGAAAGAAGCTTTTCATGATTGAACTTCACTTTCATTTTTTTTTTGGAATGGAAATTTCAATCTTATGTGTTTTATTCATTTCCCTTTAGACTATAACATTGTTCTTATTAGATCTGGTTGGGTACTTGGTTTTTCTGATCCATTTTTGCCCCCTTTAATGCTGAATTACTAATAAAAGAAATCACACTATATTTATCCTATGGTAGTGGTCCGAGAGAAAGATGTCTGCTGGGAATATTGTGATAAGCTAGAAGGAAACAAAGTAAGGTGTAAATTTTGTCTGAAAGTTCTGAATGGGGGAATTAGCAGATTGAAGCATCATCTATCCCGAGTACCCAGTAAAGGTGTTCACCCTTGTAGCAAAGTAAGGGATGAGGTTACTGATAGAGTGAGAGCCATAATAGCAATGAAGGAAGAGGGAAAAGAAGCCGCCAATGCTAAAAAGCAACGACTAGCAGAAACAAAATGTCCTGGGAACATGTCTGCAAGCAAACCTCTCATGCCTATGGAGGCAATGTCTCCAATAACAAAAGTTTTCCCCTCTGGCTCCCAGATAGCTCCTCCACCTTCATATGACAGGGATAATGCAGAAAGAAGTATTGCTCTATTCTTCTTTGAAAATAAACTGGATTTCAGTGTTGCACGCTCTTCTTCATATCAACTAATGATGGATGCGGTAGCAAAGTGTGGCCCTGGATTTCGGGGCCCATCCTCAGAAACACTGAAGACCACATGGTTAGAAAGAATCAAGTTTGAAGTAAGCCAACAATGTAAAGAAATTGAGAAAGAGTGGGCCACCACAGGTTGTACAATCATTGCAGATACATGGACTGATAATAAGTCAAGAGCTCTGATAAACTTTTTAGTGTCATCACCCTCGGGGACTTTCTTCCATAAATCTGTAGATGCATCTACATATTTCAAAAACACTAAATGTCTTGCTGATCTATTTGATTCAGTTATTCAAGATTTTGGCCCAGAAAATGTTGTTCAAGTAATTATGGATAATGCTCTGAATTATGTTGGTGTGGGCAATCACATTATGCAAAACTACAGCACCATTTTCTTGTCTCCTTGTGCTTCTCATTGTTTGAATCTAATCTTAGAGGATTTTTCTAAGATTGATTGGGTTAACCGTTGTATTTTACAAGCACAAACTATTTCAAGGTTTATATACAATCACACATGGGTTCTTGATCTAATGAAAAAATTCACTGGAGGGCAAGAACTTGTTCGGACTGGTATTACAAAGTCTGTATCCAATTTTCTCTCCTTGCAGTCCATGTTGAAACAAAGGTCAAGATTGAAACATATGTTCAACAGTCCAGAGTATTCATCAAATCCTGCATATGCAAATAAACCACAGAGCATATCTTGCATTGCCATTCTTGAGGATGCTGACTTCTGGAGAGCAGTTGAAGAGAGTGTAGCAGTTTCTGAGCCTATACTTAAAGTATTGAGGGAAGTTTCTGGTGGGAAACCTGCTGTTGGTTCTATATATGAGTTTATGACCAGGGCCAAGGAATCTATAAGGACCTATTACATAATGGATGAGAATAAGTGCAAGACGTTTTTAGACATAGTTGATAGAAGATGGCAGAATCAGCTCCATTCACCTCTACATGCAGCAGCAGCGTTTTTGAATCCTAGTATCCAATACAATCCAGAAGTTAAATTCCTTACACTTATAAAGGAAGAGTTCTTTGCTGTTTTGGAGAGATTACTCCCAACACCTGAACTGAGGCATGACATCCCAGCACAAATTGTTGTATTTAAAAAGGCAACTGGAATGTTTGGTTGCAACCTAGCAAGAGAGGCACGGAACACAATCTCCCCTGGTATGCATACATTATGTTTATAAATAACTTTTGAAACACTTCTATCATTCCTTTTGGTGCCATCCCTATTATTGACATGTAACATGGATGTTTGCATGATAGAACCTATATGGTATGTTGAAATCTTTTACCCTGCACTATTGATCTGGTGGTTAAGGAAAAAGAAGAACCATTTGTCAATAAATTCTAGTATTCAACTCAGAAGGGTGTGAGTTTCTGATATTTTGATTCCTCTGATTGAGCCCGTTATAATCAGTCTGATTTGATCTATGCATATTCTTCACTAACAGGAACAGGCACTATGAAATGATTATGAGAAGTGTGATAAGATTTGACTGCAAGTTCTGAAGCATGTTAGCCTACCCCACCCCCCAAAGAAAAGGTTTCACTGGTATAACACAGTTTATGCCATAATTTCAGAATCTTTTAACCTAAGGACCATTAAATGTTGTAGTTTCATGAGATATGAAATCAGACTTCCCTTCCTGACATAACCTCCTTTTATAAAGTATGTCTTGCAAGGCATTAAGTTGTCTCTAAGCATGAGTTTTTGCATCTGTTCACCATGCTTGCACATATGTCTGTTTTGTTACTATGTTTTATTTGTTTCTTAAATTTCTTACACGTTTTCTGCTTATACATTCAGGCCTCTGGTGGGAACAATATGGTGATTCTGCTCCAATGTTGCAACGGGTTGCAGTTAGAATACTTAGTCAGGTTTGCAGTGCTTCCACCTTCGAGAGGAACTGGAGCACATTTCAGCAGATCCACTCTGAGAAGCGAAATAGGCTTGACAAAGAGACATTGAATGACCTTCTCTATATAAATTACAATCTGAAGCTTGCAAGCCGGATGAAAGGGAAGCCTATAGAGACTGATCCTATTCTAGTTGATGACATAGACATGACATCAGATTGGGTAGAGGAGACTGAAAACCCAAGCCCAACTCAGTGGCTAGATCGTTTTGGTTCTGCCTTGGATGGTGGTGACTTGAATTCAAGACAGTTTAACAATTCCATGTTTGGTGCAAATGACCATATATTTGGTTTGTGATTGTGCCACCTTTTAGTAACTCATATTTAGTATGTGGGATTTCATTTCTTGTGTAGTTTCTACTGTGCCTTTTCTGGGATTCTGTTTCTTTATTTCACTATATTAATGGAATATTAAGTAGAATATTGGTAAACGATCTACTTTGCCATTTTTTTTAAGAAATACTACATGAATAACATGTCGTTGAATTGTAATATGAGCTTTAGCATTTTTGTTGCATTTAATTGCTTAACTTATAAATTGTGCTTATTTATAACTTCTTACAAATATAAATTATACTTATGCCTGGATTCTTACAAATATAAAACAGAAGTTTTCCAATTATTTCTAATGCAAATATAGTTGTTTCACCAGTCATCACTGCATATTCCTCAAACCCAAATAGAACAACAATTTTGCTTGTTGAATCCCTTGCAATTACAAACACTCTGTCTAGAATATGAGTTGGGCATAATTGGAATAAGAAGGTCCTATGCTCTTTGTGCTGGGGCATGAATACCTCTGGTAATGCTCCATAGACCCACAGAAAGATTTTCTAGATTCTTTAGATTATAGTCGAGGTCAATATTTCTTAAAACCTCGGGGAAATAAATTGAACCCTTTCCTTTGAATTGAAGGGGATACTTGCTGAATCAATATAGGTGATGAATAGTTATTTTGCTCATCAAATTTGATGGTTTTCTTCAAAACTTTTTTCTTTGTCGGTTAGAGTTGAAGGCATCCCATGGGAGATCTTAGTTGTGGATGTGGCTGGGTTATTCAATAACGTTTTTGGTTTTCTTCAAAAGATTCAATTATTTTATTATTCTCTTATACTTTTTCCTTTTTAGGTTAGTATATTTCACTTAGTTTCAATAATTTGGGTGACATGCTATCCATTGTTTGGTTGAAGTAAGTTTGTTTTTCTCCATGAAACAAGTAGCCGTGTGTTTTATTTTTTTGATCTATGCTAGTATGCTTGAGACTTGCTGTTAATCTCATGGCTAAACTGGCTTTCTTTGTTTGGTCTGTGGTGCCGGACAAGATCCTGGCTAGGGACAATTTAGTCAGAACAGGTGTAGAGGTGGCGGATATGGCTTGCACATTGTGTAATGGAAGTGTGGAGTCTTCTAGTCATTTGTTGTTACATTGTGACTTTGTTTACTGGATTTGGGTAAGACTGTTGGAGTTGTTTGTGGTAAAATATGCTTCCTGGCTGATGTGAAGGGATTCATAGGTGCTTGGGTTTTAAGAGGTTTAAGCAGGGATGGAAAAGTAGCTTGAAGCATCCTCCCCACAGCAGTTTTCTGGGCAGTGTGGTGTGAAAGAAATAGTAGAATCTTTGAAGGGAGGCAGAGTACAAAAGAAGAGGTTTACAAAAAAAGATTTTGAGAGTGGTGCTTTCTTGGTTGGCAAATCACCCTCTATTCAAAAATAGACACAAATTCTTTTTTTGATCAAGATTTTCTCTTTGTAAGGAATTTGTAGTTTTTTTTGGTTTTGGGGTTGAATATAACCGGGTCTACTTGGCCTTCTCCTAGTATGGATTCTCATGGCTAAATGTTGTTTATGATGTTGATATTAAGGCAATGGATTTCTCTTTTGGTCATTGAATACTGTTATTGGTACTTGTGTTTGTTTTCTTCCTTTTTATTCTCTTGTACTTTCTTCCTTTTAGGTAGTGTATTTCAATCTAATTTCAATGATTTTGATTGACATGCTATATATTATGTTGTTGAAGTACATTCGAATTTTAATCTATGAAATTAAGTAGTTGTCTATATTAATTTTTTGTTTTCATCTCTGCTTGGGGCTTGTATCAATCTAAATTATCAACAGTAGTTTATGACAATATTAAGGCAGTGTATTTTTTCTTTGGCATTGTTGTTATTGAACTCTATTTTCTGTTCGAAATCCAACCATCTAGATGATTAACCTCTACTTTGGATCCTTATTTCTGCCATAGCTACTGGGAGAACGGTTTTCGAACCATTTGTTTGTGATAGCCTAGTTACATTATCTAGCTTTAGGGCATGGAGGAAGCAGGAGGCTTTTGAAGATTATGTAGATACACGCAAGGAGGAAGCAGGAGGCAGAACTAATCTAATTGCATCATTCCTAATGACAAATTTAAAAATGATTTCCTGGAATGTAAAGTATGAACTCAGGGAGGAGGAGAATGCTTATTTGTTCGTTCTTGAATAAATGACAGCTGGATGTGCTATGTTTACAAGAATCTAAGCTGCAATGGGTGGACACTTCTATAGTTAGAAGCATTTGGGGCCAGAGGCAGTGATTGGGAATATCTTCCAGCTACTGGAACGGCAGGGGGAATTCTGGTGATACTGAAATTTAAGTTGCTACATAGAAGTGTCTGATAAATGGGTTGGGGACTTCTCGGTTACCCTGAAATTTAAGTTGCTGAATGGAGGTTTCTCAGGTTTGTTGACTTAAGTTTATGGGCCTATGGATAACACAAGCAGACCCCGATTTTGGGAGGAATTAAATGGAATCAGAGAGGTGGAAACTTACACTCCTTGGTGCATTGGTGGTGATTTCAACACAATCAGATTTTCTTTGGAGAAAAATGGGTTGGTCAGGAGATGGATCTGCCCCTTGCTGGTGTTAATTTTACCTGAACAAATAACAAAACAACTCCTACCTTGGTAAAACTTGATAGATTCCTAATCTCTCCAGATTGGGAAGACAGCTTCCCTAATCTGATCGTCTGCCCTCCTCGGACTCCTCTCTGATCATACTCCCCTTCTCTTGGACAGGGGAGGTATTTCTCATGTTTGGGGGCCCTTCAGGTTGAGCACATGTGGTTAAAGGAGGAAGGTTTCATGAACCTGTTGCATGAGTGGTGGGTAGGTATGAGCTTCACTGGTTCAACCAGTCATATCTTCCACTTTAAGCTAAAGATTAAGTCTTCGAATAAAGATGTTTTCAAGGGGGTTGAAGCAAAAAAAGCAGAGTATCCACAGCAAATTGTTGATCTCGATATTGAGGAAGAGGGAGGCCCTTTGAGTGAAGAAAACAGAAAAAAGAGGTTACAGGCCAAGCTGACTTTTGACAAGCTAGCAATTCAGGAAGAGGTTAAATGGAGGCAACGATCCAGGAGTATTTGGCTGAAAGAAGGTGATAATAACACTGCTTTTTTCCACAAAATGGGCAATGCTAGAAGACATGTAAACAGCATCAAGGCTTTAGAAGTTAATGTGGAGGTTCTAGAGGATGGAAGTCGAATCAAGGATGCTATTGTAGACTTCTATTCAAACCTTTACAAAAGACATTGGAAAAGAATGCTGAGGCTGGATGGTTTGGACATTAACAGAATTTCTGATGATGATGATGCCTTTGATTTGGAAAAGCCATTTTTAGAGGATGAGATCAGGGATGCTGTTTTTTCATATGGAGGGTGATTAGGCACCAGGCCTGGATGGTTTCACAATGAAATTCTATAAGATGGGATGGCCTTTTATCAAACAGGATCCATTGAAGCTTTTTGAAGAGTTCCATGCAAGGGCTGCTCTGAAAAGTGTCTTACTTCAATCTCTATTACCTTGGTCCCAGAAATGGAAGGGGCCTTAGAGGTGAAAGATTTTAGGCTCATTTGTCTCTTGGGTAGTGTATATAAAATCCTTGCAAAAGTTAGCAATAAGGCTGAAAAAAGTGATGGGCCAGATTCTTTCTCCTTCCAAAGGAGCTTTTGTGGAAGGGAGACAAATTCTTGATGGAGTTCTTATTGCTAATGAGTTGGTTGACTCACAAAAAAGGGAAGGTAGAGAAGGCCTAGTACTCAAGATGGACATAGTTGGAGTCCTGCCCTCCTACCCAAAGAAACCTATACCTCATGTTGTTTTATATAATCAATTTTAACATCTCTTACACATGAGATAGAAGATGATTGGTGAAGATGAAGCTATCGTCTGACTCATAAACTTTGTTGATGAAGCCTTGCAAAGAGATTGGGGAAAGGAGTTGAAAAGTTTTAAGGAGTTTGAAGGGAGAGGAAGTTTTATTGCACCGAGTTTTTTGGGATTGGAAGAAACTAGAAAGAAGCTGCTTTGCTTTCCTGAAAGAAGATTTAGTGCGTGTTGGAAGTTGATCTCTAAAATTTTAAAAAGGCTTTTCTGAGAACGGGGACGAAATTAGTAAAACAGCCAATGAGACTATAGTGTCATTAGAGGATTCTTTGGTCTCAACTGTTGAAATACCAGAAGAGGCAACAAATGAAATTTTAACAATGGCGGAAGGCGTGGGTACAAGTAGGGTGGATGTCTAGGGAGGAAAAAAAAACTTCGTATAAAATGTTGGTGGCTGAACTGAAGGAAGAAGTCCAGGATTGGAAGAAGGTATCCAATGCAATAAGCCAAGGTTTAAGGCTTAAGGGGACCATGGTCTTTACACCATTTAATAAATGCAAAACTCCCATTGATTTGGTCAAAGAGGAGGTGGAGTTAGAAGCTTTAAATTTGCAGTTGATGTTGGCAATATTTTGGTTTCGTCTTGGTCCCCCCTTGTCAAATGTGAAGATCTTGGGTGTGCAAGGTGGTGTTATTGTGCGAGTAGTTGGACTTCCATTTCATTTGTGGAAACAAGAAGTCTTCACCTCCATCACATCGATTTGTGGAAGGCACCTAGATAGTCTTCACTTTTCATCTTTCATTCTACGATTCTCTTCTCAATGTTTGTTGTTGGAAGATATTCCTAGGAAGGTGGAGGTGTTAGTTGATAAGTTTTGTTATTCAATTTGGTTAGCGATCTCCATTGAAGAAACTCTATGTTCAAAGGCACATAGGGAGGAAGACTTAGGAGTTGAAGAAGAGTATCTTCGTGGTAGAGAGTGATTGGGTTATTTTAAATGCCCTACAACTTTTCCAAGATGGGAGAAACAAAATATAGAAATTACAATGGGTGGAAGTCAAAAGGATGAGGGTGTTATCCTGAGGAGGGCTGTAGTTTTGGCGTGCGATGGTGTATCTGCTTAGAGTGTCAGTAGTGGAGAAAAAG